GGGCGTATCGGCGCGTTCATAAACGTATCAAACAAAAAAGGCGTGGAAAACGTGTCCAATGACAATTTGCCGGGGAATCTCACTGGCCCCAGAACTTTGAGTCTTTGCTCAAGCGAAACGAATCAGGCCTCACAAACACTAGCTATTTAGAATTCAGCAAGTAGAAAAACATGAAAAAAAAAAGAACTAATTGTTGCAAAACACGCCTTCATCATCCCTCATCTGCAAAAAAGTCATCAAACCCAAGAGATATAGCAAGGTAGTAGCTCCTCATAACGGCATGGCCATTAGAATCATTGAACCGATGAGCAAAGCATGCCATAGATCTTCAAAGTGCATAAAGAAAACACAAAACAACAAAAAGGGTTTTGCGATCACAGTAAGAAACAAACAGAGTGCCAACCGTGCCAACCCAACGCCCCTTGACCGACACGCCCAGTCGACCGGCACCGGGCCTTGTCCGGGACGGTCTCCGCATCCGCTTCCATGGGACGGTCGAGGTGAGCCCAAAGACCGACCCCAAAAGAGGTCCAAATCGGTCCAAGATCTGTTCTTGGCTTCAGAAAAGGTCCAAGACTTCCAGTTTGTGATGTTTTAGGCGCAGAAGCTCACACCACGGTTCGCAACAATGGTGAGAAAAGCATCTAGGACATCCGTCCCAAACGAGCCAGGAGACCAGCATCTGGATGTTCAAACGGGTGCCGAAGACCTCTGTGCCGTGTATGCTACGAGTGCTTTTTGACAGCTTCAAAAAGCGAAGCTAGCTGCCGCTGTACAGCTTGGGCCTGGACATCATACAAATTCGATTGCATCTGAAACAAACAGCTCAGACCGGTTGAAAACCCACGTATGCTTATCACAGGCTTCAGAAAAACACGTGGTACCGTGTTACCTTGTTGTCTCGCGATCTAGCGTCCAAATTGCTGGGATCCAGCGTCAGGTGCTGTGTACTCGGTTTACTGCACCAAATCATCTTCGCCGCCCTGACCCGAAAAATAGGCCCTCCGGTTGGGGTTGGGGCTCCGCATGATTTGGGTCCCTAGCGACATATCACTAACATTACATATCTGATGCTCGTCTTCCAGCGGTCTTCTATGCCTCCCCAATGGCAACACACTCTTCCAGAGTTCATATATGAAATGTCCTTATATCATGCGCCCCCCCAGTAAATGTCCAGAAAATCATCTTATATCATGTCCCCTATCCTACCAGAAACAGTTGATGATGAGACGAGACGTGAAGGCCTTTCTCTAAAATAGTGATAATAGTTTACCGACTGTTACAGGTAGGAGGACGGACACTGTCCTCCGCGGTGCTCGCCGAGCACGGCAGCAGAAGCGTCGGCCCGCTTTTTCTGAGACGTCCAGTTCGATGACTGAAGCTATTGCCGGTCTCCTCCAACAAACATGAAGAAACATGTACAACAGTTGAAATTGAGGCGGCATATGTAAATATATATATATATGTGTGTTATAAACAATCGCCAACAAGGAGGTTTTAAACTTGGCTTTTGGAGCCTCAACCAAAGGTTGGAGGAGTGAGCCACTGTACATGTCCTACTGCTGAGATTAGTCCAGGCCTCTTCGTGTTGGTGTCTGTTGTCAAGCCGCATCTCCCAAAGTACTGAGAAGAACCATATTTATGCCATTCCCTCCATGGCATTTATGAAGTTCCACTTGGTAAGACTGATCAACCACAAATATTCCTGGATTCTCCTGTGTCATGTTCTATGCACGGTGCGGTTGGAACAAATGGGGACGCCAGGCAAGCTAATGGAACAAGGACCACAATATGACAACAGTCTTCAAGCATGGTTCCCTCACACCTGACATACGTGACATACGAGTTCGCCAAACAGAAACCACTGATTCGAATCTGAAGGCATGCAAAGACATGCTACAATGTCACGTTCTCGCCCCCCCCCAAAAAAAGGGCCCACTGACAGCTTTCTAGAAGCTCACCGAACCGGTTGGTGAGCCTCACCAGATCTACTGTAGGCTCTTGATTAAAACCCTCCCTATCAAGAGGCTCCAAATCATGTTCTTCAACATGCCAAGGAGTACATGAAGCCCACCTTACAGTCAACAAACCCTGGCCAGGACCCGATCTCTGGAGAGTCCGCGAATTCTCTTTTCAGGTCATTTGCGGATCCTGCGCATCCCGGGCAGCTGGCTGGCTATTACTGTGGCTATTACTGTAATATATATATATGTATATAATGTCATAATAGCATTAGTTATACAACATATATAAAGGTATACATTACATATTGTTATATTATAGTATAGTTATATATATATATATTACAGTACATTATCTACTCCAGGCACTCGAATGATCATGCAAACATGGTCAAATGTGTTTTTGCTTGTGTTATCCATTTTCATGCTAGAACATGTAGAAGTCAGTGATGGCAAACACCCGCCTATGATATAAAGTGAACATGTTTGCTACAAATAAACGTTCTTCAAACATGATATGATATACAGTAATCAAATAGTACAACCTTCCGTCAAATATTCTACACGTAACCACCAAAAGGCCCCTGGCCAAACCCCATCAACCCACACCAACCCCCAAACCTAGGCACACTTGAGGCCAAGGGGGGGGGCGAAAGCTAGCGCTCCAGAATGGGAAAGTGGAGGGCAGCGAGGTAGGAAAAAACACGGCGCTCTTTTTGGAGGCAGGGGTGAAGAGTCCTTTATATGTGGCTCTTTGCCCGGATCCTCCTGCGAGAGAAGAGAGAGAAGAGAGACGGAAAGACGAGAGACAGAGAGGAGAGAGAGAGAGAGAGAGGAGAGAGAGATGAGAGAGATGAGAAAGAGATGAGAGAGATGAGAGAGATGAGAGAGACAGTGAGACAGTGAGAGTGAGCGAGTGCGGCCGCAAGACAGGACGGAGTCGAACTTGCGAAGAGGGAGGAGGGAGGGAGGGAGGGAGGGAGGGAAGGTGGGAGGAAGACAAGGAGGAGGAGAGGGGAGGTGGGGTGGGGAGAGGGGAGAGGGGAGAGGGGAGGAGGGGAGAGGGGCGGAGGGGAGGGGGGGGGGTCTTCGACCTGAAAAATCAGGGGTTAGGATTTGCACCCGGTCGAAAGAAACCTTGCTATCGCAAGAGTAACTCCAGCTAGCTTCGCTAGCTTTCGTGAATAAAACGGTAATTGACAAGTTCAACAAGCTCGGGGGGACCAACCCATCTCCTCCAACACTACTTCGAAAAATACGGCCTGTTATGTTCACCAAAATCCCAAGAAAGCCTTTCTGCTTTAGATCTTCCTCTTGGGCCCGAGCATTTCCACTCTCGTGCTGGGCCCACGTCGAAACCTGCCGACGGGCCGGCGGAGGCACTCCGTGGGACGGGAAACAGACCGGTTTCCCTCGAAACAAGAGGCTTAACCGTCTTCCATCTGCTCGTATTTGGTGGGGAAACGAATCCCCCCCCAAAAAGGTTTCAAGGTTAGCCACTTTTCTTGGGTAGGTTTGCTATTAACCCCCTTTCAACCCACAACTGATCGCCAGCCCCTCGCGTCCGCGGCTGTGGTGACCGGAACCGTTGGAGCCGATCACGTCTCGAAGATGTTTGACGGGTCGATATTTCTAGTGGAGCAAGGTTCAAGAGTGTCAGGAGTATATATATATATACGTGGATTATAGATAAATATGATGATAGATTATAGGTTGTCAATGTATATCAATGTGATTCTATGTTCTACTCAGTTCTACTCCGTGTTTTAGTTCTTCCCTGGCATGTTTAGACCATGTGAGAATGACCTTCCACTGAGACCACCAGTTGCATGCTACTAGGACCTGTGTGAGCTTAGTGTCCAAGTTTCCCAAGGGAGAGAAACACACGGGCAGATGCCCAAATCTCTTGATCTTGCATGGTGTTCCCTCTTATGGTTATAGTTGTGATCCCTGGTGCCCCTGTTTGGGTGCAGGTTGCAGAAACACGCCCATGACCATGGCCACACACAAAGCAATTCAGCTCCTGTGCCCTCGTCAAGTCCAGCATGGCTTGCTGCAACGCGCTGACCCAGTGAACCAAGTGGTTGGTCAAGGACATTACGCCCTGGAAGGATTCCACATGGAAAACTGAAAACCATAGGGGGTTGTAAAGGAACATCGTCTTCCAGTCTGGTCCATGCCATCAATCTCCAATTTGGGTCTCTTCCTGGGTGTGCAAAACTCGTCTTCCACGTTTGGAGTTGATTGCTTGGGGGGCCATCGTCCCATTCCCTAGATTCCCAAACAATCGTGAGGATCTCCCCAATAAAGGACATACCGCATCACTTGATCAGCCAGAAGTATAGCAAGTCGCATTGAGAATATCAAACTGTGGATCAACGGACATCCAAGCAGGGACTAAAAGCTTTGCTATGTGAGTCTGCCTTGGAGAGTCTCCTGAATCCAGTTTCGTGCCATCAAATGGCCTATCTCCCAGGTGTCAACGTAGATGGCACCATCTTCCCAAGGTGGTTTTATGGACCAAACCTTCTGGGCCGGTGCCCGTCGCTAGAAGGTTTATGAACCCCGATATATTAAAAAAAATTGGGTTTGTGCATGTGTGCCATCTACTCTGAAACCGCTATTGTAATGAAACAGGTGGAAACTATTGAAATGAAACAGGTGGAAACACAAGTACTCCTTCCAACAGTTTGCTCTCAACGCTGTCTTGTTTCCCAGAAAATCACGCACCAATCACCAATCAGCCGAACACGCACCGTGTTTTGGCCGAACCCCCTCGCAGCGCCAGTGAGTTAGGCCCAACGTTCCGGCCGTGTGGCAAGTCCACCGTGCGGTCCAGTGTCCACTGAAGCGTAAAAAACGTTCTTCGGTGCAAAAAGTCCGGAATAGTCAAGAGCTGTCTGCTGTGGACATTGGAGTGGGTTCGCCTGATTCATTCGATTTTTTCTCTGGGCAACATGGTCGTTCAAGACCGATCTCACCGCTCCTAACTTGGCGTTTTGTGGGGTGGGGATACACCGTATACATATGGTATATAGCCAGCCAACTCTTGATGTTGATGGATTAGCTTTGAACGGCCTTGTTGCCCTTCAGTAAGGATGTCGCCCAGCTATGTCCTTCTGGCGGGGGCGTCCGTCTCAAGGCACTCAACGCGGTGATATCATCCTTGGAACGATCCCCAGTGCAACCGGATCGGGGTTCCTTCTACTGAGCGGTCCTGCTCGAGGGCGGTACCAAAGCCATGAGGGATCCAAGTACCGAAGTGGTTTGCGTGTTTCACTTGTGGTTAACTTAGTTTTTTTGCGGCAAGAATTGGTATGGTCTTTGTGAAGGATCTCAACCCCGTCAGTGGATCTCACGGATTGTCCAAATCACATTTGGCTGGGGTCATGGCACCAGGGGGCCTTGGCTGACCTACCTGCAAGGTCAAGCTACATGGTGTTGGGGCAACAGGTTTTGACCCATCCCCATGTCTTTGGGACTGAAGATGGAGGCATTGACAAAACAGGAAGTGAATGAGGCAAGTTCACTTACGATGGTCTTCTGGGCAACTAGTCATTACTTGGCACCTCTGCATATCTCAGAACATATGGAGCATGTGCAGCAATTGAGGACACACCATATGGTGATGCTCTTCATGGCTGGCATCACATGGCTGGAGGATCAACATATATCGAACCTATGTTGCCATCATACAAGCCATACTTAATTTAGAATGTATTGGAACCTCGGCTGGGTTGATGGCTCTAAGTCGGACATATCGAGAGACGCTACCAAAAAAAGGGTGATGTAGCAAAGTATCTGAAGCAACTGACTGTGCAGCACATCCCTGCACATGACATTCCATACAAGTTCGCCACATAAGCAGTCATCCTCGACAAACAAATATAGGAATATCCAAAAACAAACAGAAAACGGGTCATGTTGTTGGATTGGTTGATATTCTTTCATAGCCTTTCTACTCCAGGATGATTATACAATATAACAATGACAATAATATCTATCAGGGCTCACTATACGTCCTGTTTAAACATACCACTTTTGAGTATCTCTTCTGCTAGTTCAGGCATACTAATGGCAACTACAAGTACTATGGCGCCATATTCTATCCCTGTTCTCGATAATGGCCGGAGCCAGCCGCAAGTACCAACATTGTCCGCCCTTGCTGGGCTAGGGGGTTCCCTGACGGATCAGCTGGGCTATTTGGAACCTCTGGCTGCTGGCCAGGCAAGGAAATATGACAACCCACGAACCCTCCTTGTGAGTCAGTCGAGCCAGTGCCGTGGGGCATGGCCGTCGTTGGTGATTAGTGTTCCAGCATCATGTTCAGGACCCAACGCAGTAGCTTCCGCATGGTCCATTTGAGTGATGCTGGACACACATGCACGCACAAATCACAAGAGCTCAGGCACGAAAGGTATACTTCCATGAAAAGTATACTTCCATCAATCAGAACATACAAAAACACTCATTAATCTCTATACTTCCATGGTCAAGAGGTCAGTGTCAGGCACGACTTCTTCTGTCTGTAGTCTTTATCTAGATACTTCCAATTGAATCAAAAGCTGCCTCACAAAAGGTGATGCTTAATTGAATTTATGCAAAAAAAGGACATATAGCGAGCCCTGTATATATAGCTATATAATATTAGAACTATTATATGCAAAACGCCAGTGGTTCCGGGTCACCATGCGAGCACATCGGTGCCAAGTGGTTCCGGGCGAGGGCGCTTTCGGATGTCCAAGGCACTGATTGCATGGCACGGACCAGCTGGTGCTTCTGCTGCAGCTCGTGGTGGCTGGCGAGGAAGGAGGCTTGCTCGCGCTTCCTGTGTTTACGTCCCATGCGTTTTCACCCAATTCTGAAAAGCCTAGAAGGCCACCAAGGCAAGCTAAAAGACTGGCCCCCCTGAAACTGACGTAGGTGAACAATGAAGCACATGCAGCCAATAAGGTTTGGACATCCTTTCACTGAGGCAAGTCCCCTTAGCCATTCCAAATGCTAGTTTCACAAACTAGAGGCCCAAATTGATAGGTTCAATCTCATCTCACCCACAAAAAGTTTGGACCTGCACTTTTGACTTAGTTGAAGGTATCAATGTACAATCACTCCGGCATGGTCCTTCGCTCAAGAAGGTTGCGCAGCTCATTGTTCTGTCGCTCCTCTTGCCGCTGCAGCTGCTGCTCCTTCAGCGAATGGTTGCTGGTCAAGCCAAACCAACAAAGGCAAAGTGATTACATTATAATATGAAAACAAAAACAGCGAATACTGTCAAGTCGTCAAGTAGATTCTAGAGTTAAGGCTTGAGGGATTGTCTCCATGAATTTGCTAATTACCAGGTATAGAGTCAAAATTGTTGTTATATAAACGAACAATTCTCCTATGAACATCACCTTGCAAGGGGCTTGACCACTCTCTCAACCAGCTTCTGAAAAGGGAATAAATGCTCGAAATCCACACGCCACCGTCGCGAAGCATAGCTGAGGCGCTCAGCACTCAAGGTTCAAGAAAAAGCTTAATCACCCCACAGGAGATGTATGTAAGAGATGTAAAACCGAGACCCCACAGTTGGTTTCGGTCCGCTGGTCGCCCGCGTCGCCGTCGGTCCGCCTTGGCCACCGGCAACTCCTTTCGTTGTCGGGTCAGGAGCTCGGCCTTCGCCTCCGGAGACCGAAAAAGCTGCTCGGTAACCGGTTTTAGTCCTGTCGCTCCTCTCGTCCAGAGTGCTGGGATTGCATAGTTCGCACTCTCCAGCCGAAACAGAAGTTGAGTCGAAACATCTTCGGCACAAATGTCGACGTGTCTTGCGATTCATATCTGCCGTCTGATACCTCACCCAACTTCCACCCAGAGCATTCCGCCCTGTTGAGAGAAGGTTCAGCCCAGGCTTCCGGGCGTCCATCTCTTTGTTGAAGGACTCGAAAACACGATTCATGTGCTCCAGGTTTTCCAAAGACCGCCGCCTTAGCTTGGTGGTCTGGTGACCGACAGGTGCTAATCTTTGACAGGTGTGAGGTTGAGCTACTTAAGATACCCAAACACTCCATGTATGGGAATAGATGCCTACATTGGCCCCTGAAACCACTCCAATGTATGCAAATATGCCATACACGGACTGTCTGGGGTATGGTAATGGTTATGTGTCGAAAGGAGGGGGGATTGAGCATCGTCTTTTTCCAAGGATCGGGTGTCATCTCCTCTGTGAAGGCGTTGGCAGTGCAGATTGGAGAAGTGAAAGGGGCATATCACGGATGTCATCAAAAAAGATCATAGAGTTGGCGCTCCTCCCTTCTGTGCATGTGGCTCCTAGCCCAACTCGGGCAATCCAAGATTGCTTCCCAATCCCTCAACCTCATGTTAGGCAAACCTGTCCCACAAAAGGTCAACTCCGTAATCCCTCGTCCAAATCGGCATCGACCGCCACATGCAACCCTCGTCGGCGCTGCTGCTATACCTGCGAGGGTTGAGGAACTCCCCGTGGCCGTGAACGGAGAACGGTTTGCAGCACGCTGTAAGTACCAACAAGCCTTTATGTAATAGCTATATAGCTATAGCTAAACACTCCCACGGCTTCGTGCTCCGGATCAACGCTGGCCCAGGCCCTGGACTGAAGCCAGGTGAATCCCCCCTCCCCTCACTCTCACTCCTCGCCCCCACCCCCCCAAAAAAAAGGTACGAACACTTAGGGGATACTTATATAGATTAGGATTATTTATATAGGTTTTACACTCGGGTTATATATCTATAGGTTATTCATGGTTATAGGTTATTTTTGTTTCCCAAGTCTTCCCGTTTTCCTCGTTCTCACGCCCAGGAGCTGCTGGTTGACCGCCTGCTGCAGAAAGCTCACCTCTTCGGACAAGTGTCTTCGATCGCTGCGCATCGAAAGATTCTCCTCGGTGCCGCGGCACCGCGGTGTGCGAGGGCCGGACACCGGTGGACACCGGTGTAGTTCTCAGCATCCCCGGGGTTGGCACCGAACACATCGGACAGATCCGAAACATAGGCGCCTAGAAATGACCACGAGTTTCGACCAACAAACCAACAACACATCCTGAATCGTCCAGTTTCCATCATCGTTAAGCAATCCGATGTCTCTTCGGTCGTGCTGGTGCTGGAGTGCTGTGCGGCAAACCCCAGGAGCCTCGTTGGTCCTTCCGAGGCTCGGAACCCTCGGCTCCGCCGCAAGCAGGCTCCTATGCATGATATAACATATAACGAAGACTCTCTTGACCAAATCTTAAACGCTAAAAACCCAGTCTGAAGACTTCGGAACCCTTGGAAACGGAAAGGAACAAAAACTTGAGAGAGGAGGGGGGTGAACGAAAGGTAGCAGGGAATCAGGTGTAATCCGGGAGGAGGTGAGAGGCCCCCCACTTGTTTGAAGAGAAGTGAGTGAGCGTGATGAAAGAAAGACTAATGCACAAACGCTTGACAAAACCTCCAGAAGCTGTAGCGGCCTAGCGGTTTCAATACAGGTTGACGTGCCTTCAAAAGGAGTCACATATTTCTCAAATGCAACTTCGGATTTACATAGTGACGTGCGGCGACCCTGTAAATTGCGTGGCCGCAGGCCATGCTTGCAAACAGGACGTGCTCAAAAACACTGGTATTTACGAGGTTTCGTTGCCGTCGATCCACAGCCGCGGCAAGGTCTAAGGCCACGCTTGAAGACAGGAGGAGCTGAAAACACTGGTATTTACGGTATTTTGTAGCCGTCGATCCAAAGGCGCACCACGGTTGAGCGCTGGAAAAGCGCAGAAAACCGTGTAAATACCGGCGTTTTCTGCCGAGAAGGTGCACAAAACCCTGTAAATACCATAGTTTTGTGCAATTTTGAAGCCTCCAAAAGCCTCAAAAACCCTTTCTGACAAAATCTTTCCTGGTTTTTAGTCTTTTTTCCGGCAAATTTCTAACCGAGACGCATCAAAAACCATCGGTTTTTGCGGTGTTTTTTGCCGGACAGCCACAAAAAACGCTGTAAATTCCATGATTTTTGGTCACTGCTGAGGACTGGAAGAGCTGAAAACACTGATATTTACAGTGTTTTCGATCGGTTGACCCCGAGGCGCGCTAGGGTGGAGTTGAAAGGGGGGGGGGGGGGCCCCCCCCCCCAACCAGCAAACGAAGATGTCGGGGACCATTTCTCCGAGAGATAGGCTGCAGCTCTGGGTTAATACATTTTTGCTAAAGCAAAAGGAAAACTCAGGTAGCGTAACCGCTACCTTTCGTGACATATGAGGGACGGTCAAAACTCCTTATTCTTCTTCAACAAAAAATGGACGTCATCGGTTTTGAGTTGGACCTTATCGTTTTACAGTGTTTTGAGTCGCATACTTATGATCATATACAGCGCTGGGGTTATCGGTTTTGAGGTGGACCTTATCGTTTTGCAGGGTTTTGTGCACAAACCTACCCCTCTTTACTAAAGTGGTCTTCGCATGTTTTGACCGTGGCTCATATGAGAAGCCACGCAATTCTGTACTTTAGTATATATAGTGCCATTGGATGGTCCCTAATCCCTTCATTTACAGGCCAACGCATGGTGCATTGACTTACGGAAAGGCACAGCTCCACATCTTCAACCAACCTGTTCCGACGAGTCGCCACCGACCTATCTTGACTGTTTTTTCTTCGTCAGAGATATAGCTGCCCAGCAAGGCGGGACAGCTCAAAACCTCACAAAACACCTCAAGTCGGACCTTTTTCTTCTGGGGTTCACCCAGTTTGGTCATGGCACCCGGAGGACATTATGAAAATGAACAGGTTCCTTCATAAGGCATGTCAACCTTCCATGGTTTTGGTGGGGGAGCTGAGTCACAGCCAAATCAAGGTCCAACTTAGCTCTGAGCACTTTGCCAAATCACCCGAATTCCGCCCAAGCCAGGGAGCCAAGTTCAAGGCACGGCCCTCGTCGCGCAGCTCCAGCAGGCGATGCTGCCTGGGTGCGGAGAGTTACCAAGTGGGGGGCGGAACATCAGGGGGGAGGAGGGGGTGACTTGATGTGACTTGTCAAGAAACCGATGTCATGAGCGCAATGAATAAGATTGCCAATATGTTTAGAAGGCATGAAAAGAAACAACTCATCATGTTTACACAGCTGGGAAAGGCTGTCGGTTGGAGCCTGGGCCCCTCATTTCGGGGACCCAACAGCAGGGGACGCAGCAAGACGGTGTGCCCGGTAAGAATGTTTACAGTCAGTCATCCAAGTATGGTAGTTCATAATTAAGACGTTAAAATGTTTGGAGATGTTCCACACCAACACCTGGAGGATGAGCATGGTTGATCAGAATGTTGCACATTGGTGAGTTGGTGTTGGTTAGTATGTGTTGGTCACCCCCCCCCGAAAAAAATGTTTAAAAAACCTGAATAAATCAACAGTTTACAAAATACATGTTAAAACAGCCATGTAGTGGACGGATGCCGGATACCCTCTGCATCTCCCAGCTTTCCCTCACTAACCCCCCTCTCAGTTTTGGTGGGTGAAAGCGCATGCTTCCCATTCTTTGGCCCGGTTTGGCCAGGGTGCTGCTCAGTCAGTCTTTGGGTCAAGGCTTTTTGTTCCCCCAGTAGTCGCTGGTGCTTCTGAGCCTGGCGTGGCGCAACGATGGATGAGAGGAGTGTTTCGGGGTTCACGGCTATCCCCACCGCCGCGAGTGCTTTTCCTGTTCCAGCCTCTTAATAACTCACAATGTTCAATGACAAGCACGACACAACATCAAGAGTGAATTCCAGCCCCCCCAACCTTTTAATCCAAGCATGCCCTTGCCAAACAAACGATAACTCAGTCACGAAACAACTTGAGGCCAGGGGGGGGAGGTCGAAAGCTAGCCGAATCGCACCGGATGTACTAGTTACATAGTCGGCAAAGCATGTAGTGATTACATGTTTTGGGAGAAAGGTTGCTATGTACACACTTTGCGCTAAAGAATGCAAATGTGACATCGCCGACTGGGAAGGGTACATTGGAACAACACGGGTGCACTCGTTGGCAGGCACGAAGATGCGTGATCGGCAAATCTGGCGGGTAAATTTACCCCCCCGCTTTTGTATGCCTTGAGTCGGAAAGAGGGGTAGGCATTTCGGACATCACACGGACTGTACATACACTAGGGCGTCCGTAGTGTAGGAGAAGCACGGGTAAAAGGTATATGGAATAGAGTGTCTTGAGGAAATAGCCGGCATATGGTTATTGCAATTTTGGGGTGTAAATTTACCCCCCGCTTATGTATGCCTTGTGCCGGAAAGAGGGGTAAGCATTTTTGGCATCACAAGGACTGTGCATACACTAGGGCGTCCGTAGTGTAGGATAAGCACTGGTAAAAGGTATAAGGAGTAGAGTGTCTTGAGGAAATAGCCGGCTTTTGGTTATGGCAAATCTGGGGGGTAAATTTACCCCCCGCTTATGCATGCATTAGGCTAGAAATAGGGTAAGGAACTTGTAGCAGTGAAGTACAAGGCCTATGCAAATGCAGCAAGCAGCAGCCAGCAGCAGCAGCAGCAGCAGCCGCCAGCAGCCAGCAGCCAGCCGCCAGCAGCAACCACCAACCAGCAGCCAGCCAGCAGCACCACGCAGCAGCAGCGCAGCACCAAGCAGCACCACCACCAGCAGCAAGCAGCAAGCAGCAGCAAGCAGCAAGCAGCAAGCAGCAGCAGCAGCAGCAGCGGCGTCGTCAGCAACAGCAGCAGCGGCACCAAGCCGCAACAAGTAGCAAAGCAGCAGCTACAAAAGCGGCAGCCAGCGGCAGCAGCAAACAGCAGCAGCAAGCAGCAGAGCGGCAGCAGCAGCACCGTTTACACCAAGCCACCGTTTACACCCAACCAACCACGTTCACACGTTCAACCAACCCCCGCTACACGGCGCAGCTGGGAGTCGAACCGTGGGGGGGGGGAAGGGGGGGGGTTAGCGTGATATATCAAGCTTTAAGGCACACAGCTCATCCCACTACCAATTGCTAAAGCAAAGAAGAACTCAGCTAGCATGCTAGCTTTCGTGATCAAGCTTTAAGGCACGCAGCTCATTCCACTTCCAATTGCTAAAGCAAAGAAGAACTCAGCTAGCATGCTAGCTTTCGTGATTACCTACCGCTCTTGTACGCCTTGGGTAGGAAAGAGGGGTGAGCATTTCTGACATCACACGGACTGTACATACACTAGGGCGTCCGCAGTGTAGGATAAACACTGGTAAAAGGTATAAGGAATAGAGTGTCTTGGGGCAATAGCCGGCTTATGGTTATAGTTATGGCAAATTTGGGGGGTAAATTTACCCCCCCGCTTTCGTATGCCTTGGGTCGGAAAGAGGGGTCAGCATTTCTTGCACCACAAGGACAGTACATACATTAGAGCGTCCATAGTGTAGGATAAGCACTGGTAAAATGTATAAGGAATAGAGTGTCTTCAAGAAATAGCCGGTAGCAAATTTGGTGGCTATGGATACAATCAACAGTTTTTTGCCAAACCACACATGTCCAAGACAGTAGATTCAAACACTTTACTCTCAGGTATTGAAGATTCATCAACTGACGAGGCGCAGCCAAAGTGTTATGTGATGCATCCACAAGAAGAAGACGAGCAAATGACCATGCTTCCGACGAAGCTGACCATGCTTCCGACAAAGCTCCTCAATGAATCCTAAATACAAACACTAAATCAGTGGATGTTTTGCAAAAACGCATGCAAAATCCCATGAGCGTCATCTTGATTCTCCAATAATTACGTGTGCTTCCGCTACCCAGGATCATCCAAAATTCAAGTGCATGATGTCTTTGACATCCTGGTTTTGAATGCACACCCCAAAATCAAAAATACAAAACAAAACACCAACAATTTCCAACATGTAACAACACCTCCACTAATGCCAAAACGCCTGCAGCTGGGAGTTGAACCGCGGGGGGGGGGG